TTTTGTTGTCGCGTCATCACACGAGGTTATAGAAAACCTACGGTCTCGGCGCGAATTTCATTGAAATAGTTTGCAATAAAAGTTTATTATTCCCGATTGAAGGAGCTTTTCCGCCTGCGCAAGGCGCGCTTGTGCAAGCCTTAACCGTTTTCTCGAATGTCGCGCGTTTTCAAGGAAGAAGGCGCGGTGAGACGGGACGGGACGACTTTGACCTCTTCGTCTGAAATAGCGCGTAGAACAATCGGCGATGTTATCTCGCGTAAGATCTTGCTTGATCGAAATACCGGGCGGAAACGGCCGGTCCAACTGTTAACTTCTTCCCGTGCCGCAGCCCCGACGAAATAGTTTCTGCCTTCGCGCGATTCACCGACGCCGCGCGAGTTCGCTGCAAAATGCAGATACAGCCCAGAGAAATGGGTCGCAGTTTGGAAATGAAATTTCGCTGGAATTTATGATAGTTTGCACAATAAAAGTTATCGTAGCAATCGTACTCCATGATAGAACCGCTGCATAACGGAATATTCGTTTTTTTTTTTTACAATTCGTGTAGCAAAGGTTTGCACATATAAACGATGTATGTCCGCGCGGAATAAAAAATATACGCGTAACAAACACGAGCAAATCACGATTAAATCATTATAATATTTGCTGCTGCCAATGTTCGCGTTTCCTGCCAGGAAAAGCGTGCGTAAATAATCACAATCGATTCTCTCGATATTGATTGTTGCCGCTTTTATCTCGACGCTGATTCGACGTTTCTCGGATGTGTTTCTCGATTTATATCGCACAAATCAAGAGTATCAAGAGAGCACGGTAGTGTCTCTTATATACGCGAAATTCATGCAATTGAGAAGTGATGAGATTTTCACGGAGCAATATCTCGAGAACGACTGAACCGATCAATTTCGTTTTAGTCTCAATCGCTAGTACAGAACAAATCACTAAAAACAAAAGTATTCTTGCGTTTTTTTTGTTTGTGCTTCTAATTTGGAGATATGCGACAATAAAGTTTCAAAGTGAGAAATTCACATTTGCAGAAACGTTATTATTATTCCAATAAGAATCAAGGGAAAAGGCAATGAAGAGCTGTACATCTGATGTCTGGGATAAAATTCTTTTTTATTCAGAGATTTGATCAACGTTTCGATCCACTATGGGATCTTCTTCTCAGTGTCTATGCACACACTATTACAAAGGACTTTCTTTATGATTGACCAAAGTTACGTAACTGTACTTTAGTCACGTGTCTTTAAAAACGTGACTAACATAAAGTCACGTGGTGTTTTTCCTCTTCTTCCTGTCAAGTGACTTTACTCACGTTTTTAAAGAAACCTGACTAAAGTAGAGTCACGTGACTTTAGTCAGTCACGTGTTGTTTTTCCACTTCTCTTTGTCACGTGACTTTAGTCACATGTTGTTTTTTCACTTCTCCCTTTTATTATTTTTCGAGTTTGATTTTCATGCATGATTTTCCGTTTTTTTCATGTTTTGCCTAAAACTATTTTTAAATATGCATTGTATACTAAAATGGAGCTTTACCCGGTAGCATTCAAACCTGTATATTTAATTTTTAGAAAATATGACAATACTATTTATACATGTGTATGTTTTATGCAAGATTTATATTTTACTCTGATGCAAAGTCATATAATTTTGAATGTAAATGCGAAAAGAGAATATAATATAGGAAACACGCGAAGTTCAAAAATTTTTACTTCCCGTAAAACTCATCTCTGCTATGTTAAAACGATAAAATTACAACTCGCGTTATAATGAGACAGTTACGCGGATATTATGTCTGGTACAGCGCGAAGAAAAGTACCGCTAAAACTTAATTTACTTTGTTTCAACGAAATAACGTTACACATGCGGAGCAAAAGCACTTCACATCCGTAGATGTAATTTTCTTCTATCGATGAGGGTAACGATGATTGCGTAAATAGCGGCAATGCGAAACAACAAATAAACGATGGAGACAGACAAAATGAGACAGGAACTTAATGAGAAAGCATTGAATCACCTTTGGCGCCGAAGGCTGCCGCCCCAAACGCTATTGCGGTTTCCGGTGCGGTTAAAGGTGATGAAGTGTGCTAAGAAAACACCGAGGCGCGCGCTCGGCCACGGAAAAGTGGAAAGACAGACGCGGGGGCGACTGCCTCTCCGAGGCAAGAAGCGCGACCCTTAATTTCGTTTCTCGTTAAATCGTTCTTTAACGAGAAAATAAGGCCGCCTTTGAGTCGTAACTCTCGAAATACGAAGACGCGATTTTCCCGTCGGTATGTACGATAATGTTGGAACCGGGAGATGAGACGTGGTGGACGTCTCGTAGATGAAAAGCCGCGTTGTTCTTTGTTGTACTTATCGCTGATAGTATTTCGAATCTAATCTGTTAGCCGTCGAGCGTTTTCTCTCTGTTCTCTCCGGAAATATACGCGCTCTCAAGATGTTGAAATTTTATTTCTCGCGAATTTTCAGCAAAATATAAATATCGTATATGTTTTCACGGTAATTTACGTTATGTACCGAGCCACACAGTTTCCGCTCGGCTTATGCGCGATGATTAAATAGCGCTTAAGTATTTTAAGTTAAACGCGAAGAGATGGTGGAAAATAGATCTGGCCGCGTTCCGCGTTATTGCCATTTCCGCGTAATACGCGCGATGTACGTCGTACGTGCATTCATGTCGAATATCTATTCCAAAACTGTATGGCAGGTATATGCGCGGCGGCAGAAATTCATATTCATTAACCGAGTACCGTTATCCACGAAATTCGCAGTGTATCTAGTATGTAATGTATTGTGTCTTTCTCTCGAGCGGAGCCGAATCACGTTATTAAGCGCACTGTGGCGCGCGCACTAACATACGGGTGGTTTGTCCTTAATCAAAGCTTGTTAATCAGTTTGATAACGACTTTCGGGGGTCTACGTGTTCGCGAATTCCAACAAGTTTTACTCGATTCTCACTCTCATTATCATTAACACGTTGAATGTGTCGCAATGGCCATCGTCATTACGAGCGGTACGACGTAAGTTCCGGTGACGTCGTCTGTATGAGACTCAATCTAATCTCCCGCGATGGAAATTCAAACAAAGTATGACCAATAATTGGCCAGTTTTCCCGGTTACTGACCAGTATTTGGATTGCAGTCGAAAGTCGGTAAGTTCTGTCGATGCTATAGTTTGGCTAGAAACAGCCAAACTATTAGCCAGTTTTGGTGCAGTTATTGTTCTGAGTTTTGGACGGTAGTTATCGGGCCGGTGTTTGCTCACTTTATTAGCTAGGTTTGAGATGGTTGTTATGAACTAAGCTTTGTAGATTTCCGCGTTTTTCCGCTCAGAAGAAAAAAAAAGAGAAAAGAGAGAGAGAGAGAGAGAGAGAGAGAGAGAGAGAGAGAGAGAGCAACATGTATTATTAATCGAACGAAATAACGAACGTATTTACCTTCGACTGTAACTCCAAGTAGTGTTAACAATATTTAGAGAGAAACTCGCTTGAACACGGGGGCAAGCATGGTCTGTATCTCAGTATAATGATTGCAAGACGGAAAAGATTCCGACGCGATATTAAAAGTTTCCAATCTCATCTCTTTCCGATGCACAATATAAAAACTCTCCCGTCCGAACTTCGGCGAAGTGGAACTTACAAAGCCATTTACTCTGACGTTTTATCGTCGCAATGAATTTCGAGCGTCGGTCCGAGCGTGTTATCCCGGTGGAGAGGGTTTTCCTTCTTTTTCTTTTTCTTTTTTTTTTTTTCTGTATCATTCTCCGCCTTCGTAGGCGCGACAATTAACACTGCAAAGTGTTTTATAATAAAGCACTTGAGGGCGTAATTAACGTTGTCCTGTATCCGAGAGTGTCGCGCTTAAAAGACCTAAAAGTAACTCGAACTTATCTCGAAGCTTGTCTCTTCTGGTTCCGTCTCTCACTTCCACGATGATACTTTGTTCCCTCCTTGCTCCCCGCCTCTCTCCCCTTTCATCCTTCTGTTTCCCGTTCTCCGTGAGTTCTTTGCGCCCATAAATAATTCAGATGCTCAGGACGTCGTAAAGACATTAACGAAGGTAAAAGCTTTTACGGGAAGGGAGACCGGTCTGAATCCTGAACTCGTTACATTGCTCTGACGATAACTCCGCAATCATGGCACCGCGACGACGTATTGTCCGGACATGTGCGTGTTATCGTGCCAGCAACAAACGTACGTAAGTGAATAATAGTCGAAGTAATTAATCAAGTGCTTAGCTTACGACAGATTTATCTTGATTATCAGCCACAAGGCGCGCGGCAGAAAACGACATTTATTTATTGCGAAACCGCGTAAAAATGCAAACGTTGATATTGAAATGTTCTTACTCATCCCGTGTTATTTTTATGAACAAATAAATTGCGCTTAGTGCGATATTTTAAACGAGTAAACCAAACATTTGGCAAAAAAAGTGTTATTTATTTATTTCAAGAACATACGGATTTTTTTCATAATTACCGTTTAATCTTTTGCAGTTAAGCAATTATCCGGCAATGAGTATTAATTGTTTCCGTGCCAACGCACGAAAACTGCGAATGAATAATAGGATCTTATTTTCTAATTAATTCACGCCGTATTCTGTGTTTCAGAGAAAAAATTAATGCTCCTAATGGTCTAGACAACAGTAATTTAATAGATTATGATAAATAGACGCCGGTTGCACCGACGTAATCAGAACTATTTTTTAGCAAATATTTTCTAACGTATCTGCAAAAAAATGGGACGTAATTTACAACAGTCCGACACATTTGATAATCGTGTTTATTTAGCTCAGACCAGTCGTTGCAACTCGATTTAAAAAAGATTTCGAATTGTAATTTCTTCAATCGCAACGGTGTTTATAATTGCATATGTACATACATTTGGGAAACAAATGCAATCAAAAACTAAATACGTTTTACGTTTTAATAAATTTATATTATTCAAATAATTCTCCTTTGTTATATTGTGAAATGTTTATTTTTCTATGTTACAGATCGCCCCGATATGCCTCGATTCGCCGAGGAAATCGGAAATGTGACAGTGCATCAGGGACGTGATGCTCTACTGTCTTGCGTGGTGGATAATCTCAAAAATTTTAAGGTATTTTGAACGCTCTCTCGTTCTGTTTTTATTATTGTTTCATACATGCACACACATGTTATGTAGAAATGCACCTAATTGTATAATGTTGTAAGATTCTTTTGCGCAAGAAATCTGTCAATTTAAAGCATTTGGAAAAGCACTGAAATGGATTGTTTTTTCAATATCGAGACAAATTGTGTTTGGAGTTAAATTGTCGTCCTTTTATTGTCGTGTGTCTTGAAACCTCAAATATAACATCGTAATAATCGATAATCGCGCGTCTAAAACTTCAAATGTGTCTAGAACGTCATATAATTGATCGAATTTTTCTGTTCGTCAATATAGATCGTCGAGTGAAAAATTCAGGAAAATCGAGATTACATATTTAGACTGCGAGATCGTGTAGAACTTCTGTCTAAGTCACTTTATTTCAATTTACTCTATTATACTCTATTTTCTACTTAATCGTTTATTTCGCGCGACTGATAAAGATAGAAGCGCGAAATCGAGAAAACATGATAATACAATTACATATGTAAAACTCGTTTTCTCTTTAATGCCAAAAGTGTGTCAGCAATAATTGTAAATCCAATCATTTCTGTCTATAATAAACAGGGTCACACGATACGCCATTAAGAAAATCGTCTTCGCGCGAATCGTAGTTTAGCAAAGTTCGAACTCTTTTTGCCGCTTCGTACGAGCGCGCAAATTAAACGAAGATGGTATCTGCTGAAATCCCTACGGCGTTTATGGTCCGTAGACTGCGAATTGGACGTTCCTGGTTTACGTACCGTTATCAAAGACCTCGCATAATTGCTTCATTTTCCTTCAGTTAATTGAGATGACGTAACAATGGGATACAATTCATTCCGCCGAGTAGCTGGATACAATGCGCACAACTCGGCGTTAGCTAATAACACGATCCTTCTTTCTCTCGGAGGGATGACGATCAAAATTAAAAGTCTTACAACTTTGTAAATTATTCCTGTGTCGCACTTGCAAAACTAATTACGTTTTGTGTACTTTTCGCGGATTTCTGTATATCTTGTTAAGCGAATTAATTAAATTGATATTTTTTCTTTAAGCGCATTTTCTTCAAAAAAGCGACTGCCTTATGCACCATATAAACTGCAAGATATCCGTCGTGTCGTTTAAAAATTTAATGACGGATGAAAGATTCATGTCTTCGTCGTTCGACGAGTTTTCGTACTCACGGCGTCTGCCGCGCATTCCCCGAGAAGAAAGCATATTTTGCATTCCAACATTTTCTCCTTCGACGGCATTCCGATTTTTCTATCCATGGAGACACCGAGGTTTGTTTGAATTCGACTCTATCCGAGTGTTTTGATGGAAGATAATGTACAACGCTTCAAATTCGATTTAATCATAAACGGTAGAAATAGAGTGTTTTTAGTGCGAGCTGCAAGTGTCAAGATGAAAGCAAAGTATTGAGTCAGAGAATTGAATTGGAAGTTTGGTAGATAGTTTATAATTTTATTTAAAATTTAAATTAAGCTCTTTTTCCTTTTCTCTCTAATTAAAGTTTAATATCGCATGAGGACTTTTTAGTGTATAAAATAATTATCTAAGTTACTACGTTATTTACGACCTTAACGATGTCGAAGATGGCTCAAATTATTATTGATTGCGTCGATGGAAGTAGACGTCAGAAACCTTGTCAAAATGGATTATTTTAGCAATATTGTAACGAACACCGCGCGTGTAACTTTACTCGAGTGCGCTTACATTTCTTTGCACAAAGCGCGTAGCGTTAATAATATATAAATACACACAAATACGATTATACGTATAGATGTATAAGCGAGAGCTAAAATATTTGCGAGTGAAGGCTGATCTTTTCCACGAACGATACTCACTAAGACTCAGTACTGGAAACACGAAACATACTCGAGAACTGCACTCGCGGTGGAAATTATACTGCCTGTAGAATTTGCTAGACTTCGGCCATGTTTTGCATGCTCAAGAAACCTCTTACCCATATCGAAAACTCGACGAACGCGAAAGTGTGCGAGAGACAGACAGCGGGTGGGAAGAGTAGTGAGTTTCTCTCCAAAGCTCCGTCAGTTTCTCGAGATCCATGTAAAGTCTGAGAGCACGACCTTTACTCGATTATCGGGTTAAATAAGAGAACGGGAAAGAGGAGAATATTCAATACAACGGCGCGCGGAATCACTAGATGGAATATCGGGCAAACGAAAAAGTGATGCTATGTGAAAAAAAAAAATCTGCTGAGCATAACTGCGATATACAAAAAAACAAAACAAGAAAATAAAAAAAAATGCGATCCGGCTTTGTTCCAGGTGGCGTGGGTGCGCGTCGATACGCAAACCATACTAACGATTCATAGGAACGTAATTACTCAAAATCCTCGGATTTCGCTGCAATCCAACGATCACCGCACGTGGTATCTTCACATAAAGGAGGCTCAGGAGGTCGATCGCGGATGGTACATGTGCCAGGTGAACACGGATCCGATGGAAAGTCGTCAGGGTTATCTGCAGGTTGTAGGTAAGTAATTCTTTTGCGCGCGAGTTTTGTGCGCGTATTGATAATATTTACTTTACACCAGACATTCAAAGACATTTTACAAATTAAGTAATATTAAGTAATTGCACAAAAAATATTTGGTAAATGTTTACAAAAACGGAGCACTCTCGGAGGTCAGTGACCTTGACACCTTCCTGAACAGCAATCAAAAGGTTTTAGCCGTTGTCTGTTAAAAAATTATAAACAAAAGAAGTTTCATAAGTGAACTCTTATTTTCCGACACCATGTACATTTTGTTTGTGTAAACTTCGTTTTTGTAAACATTTAAATTTAATTAGTTATAAAAAATATTTATATAAGATAATAAATATTTATAAAAATGTAATTATTTTGGCTCTTTTGTTGCAGTACCGCCGTCGATTATTACTAAGGAGACCAGCACCGATATGGTGGTCCGCGAATCTTCAAACGTGACGTTGACGTGCAAAGCAACCGGATTTCCGGAGCCTTACGTCATGTGGCGCCGGGAAGACGGCAAGAATATAAATTATAACGGCGAGAGCGGTGAGTTTCCACAATTAATTCAGTGAATTTTCAGGAGAAGCTTGTTTACTTCACGTCTTCGCAAATATGACGAAATCTGAAAACGAAACACACTGACTAAAATAAATATTAAAAGTAACAGAGTAGCGCAGAAATATAACTCTCGAAAACAAAACGACACATCGTTAGACGTTAACTCGCACGAATTAATAACACGATAATTAAATTTATATATTTTTTTTAATATATAAAAAATTTCAATCAATTTTCCGATATTTAGCGCAACTACATTACGCGCTGACATCACGATTAATTAAATGTGTAACGTTAATTATTTTTATCAAAAAAAAAACTAGAATTGTGTCATATTATCTGTAGCGGTGAAACGTAATACAGTTTCGTTTAATATCTGTCGATAATATGTTCGCGTAATAAAACGAAATAACACGAACAACTGCACACTCCTAAGTCCGTGTCATCCATTCACTTCAGCGCTCTGCGCTCTAACGATCAATTATTCCTTGCCCGGTTCGACATCAAAATTCGGTCGAGTAAGCCGCGGCCAGAACGCAATTACTCAGGTGCGCGGTATAACCGCCGCATATCGCCGAACTGTGTGCCTGTAATGTGTCCAAGAGTGCAGTTGCAGTTCACAGCTAGTTGAGAGAGTTGAGGTCGATATATCGAGATATAGAGCCTTGGCGCAGCTACGGAGTTCCTTCAATTTCTGCGCGACAAGCGAGCATGTAAAGTTCTTTTATTTCGCTTTAAATTTCGCAAAAGTTTCGCGTTCGTCGTTCTTTCTCATCTTCTTCTTTTTCAGAGAGACAGGACGAGTATTTTTATTGCCATCGACAGCAGATGTTTATATCATTAGTCGATTCGTAAAAAAACTGGGATCTCGAAACAAATACATTGCAGACATGTGACTCTTTAATTCATGCTCCCTTTGGGATGTATTTTCGAACTGAAATTGTTTTGAAGCGAGAAATACGTGAAGAATTCATTATGATCAATTATGTTGGGGTTATTCGTTACGAAAGATAAATAAGTTATGTGACTACGACGTAAATAATGAATTGATGATGGCGTGCGATATATCTCTCGCGAAAGTAACCGTACATGGACAGTAAGAACTCGTCTACTTTCTGGAGTGTCGTCGCGATCGATGCTAATTACCCTCTTAATTACGAATTATGAAGAGGTCAAAAAGTACGACTGCCCCGGCTCTGTCTCGGTCGGAGAGTGAAAATTCACGGGAGCGACGCGATCGCCGTCAATCCGTCTGCAGATTCCGGAGGGTTTCCTCAATAAAGGATAAAGGTTGGATTTAATTTCTGCGCTAATTTAAATTTTCATTGCCTTTCGAACATACGGCGGGCGCCCGACGTTCAGAGGATCGTCGGATCGTAAACCGCCACCTCTCATACTAAGCTCGACCGTATAAACTGATACTGATAAATATGGATGGTCGCTGTCTGATATGGAAAAATAGTCGATTTTGCAGCGTTATTTACTGATTACCCGCTGCTGAAGAGACGCGCGGATTTATTTCGAGTCAATGAGACGTGTATGTATTTTTTTACGGTTCAAAAAATTTACTTAACGTACTCTAGGGCTTAATTAACATGCAGTTTGTTTGCAGAAAAAACTTCTAGTGTGTTAATTAAGGATTAATTAAGCGTTTCTATAATTAAACAAACGTGTAAGTTAACGCGTGTCAAAATTCACCGCGCAGGTTTAGCAACCGCTCGAATAATCGCTTGTCATTTAATTTATATGTTCATAACAGATTTAATTATTGAATAACAAGTAGCTGAATCCATCATTTTCGCGTAGATTAAAATACAGTAAATTCAGAATTATCAATAATATTGGTATTTTATCATTTTCCAAAAGGCGATATTTTCCATTAATTCATCTGTAAACAAATGTATCGCATTTCAATATAGCAATGCTCTTTCCCGCTCGTGTATTGTTTTTGGTACCGGCAAAAACTCGTGTGTGCTTATCGTTTGTTTGTTTTCATTAACATCATGTGAACATCGTGTCGCGCAATTCGCATCTTTTTTTTCGCGCGCGTCCGAGCGTTATTTCACGAGATACATTCGAAAAGTTCAGCGTTACCTAATTTCGTCGTAAATGGATCACGATGGTGATTGAATACAAATGTGATGGAAAAATGTCCGATAACGCGACGAACAAAAAAGTTCGTTCGCGTAAGTGTCGCGTCATCTATGTGCCGCATGCGCGTTATTTTTAACTTGTCTTGAAAACACGCAGAATAAATATTTACAGCTCTGAAAACATCTATTTATATGTTAAAGACGATCGTGTCGAAGTGATAGCTGAAGTTACAAGATGACATTTCACGGTATTACTGCGTAAAAGGGAAATAAACTTTTATGTCCGCGCGACTGCGCATGAGTGTTAAGGGGTTTAACACCTTCGAAGCTATGAATATTTTATTTATGAATATTATATATATATATATATTATATATATATATATATATATATATATTAGGTCGTTGCATTTATCAGCTATTTACATATAAACTACTTTTTTCGATATTTTCTCGCGAGTTTCGAAATTCTTTTAATTTTTGTCTTCGCACAAAACATTGCGTGAATTCTCTCGGCACTTGACTCCGTCCGGAACGAGAAAGCCATTTAAGTTATATCTTAAACTTCGCGGCTGGAAACGTTCCAAACCGTTGACATTTTTGTTAACCTTTAAAGGTTTCATAAGTCTCTAAATGTTTTTGTTAGGAGTCAAGTTTTCGAGTGCTTTTTCGCCTCGAGATCAGCAATAGCTTTCAATCGATTATTGGCATATTACTTGATGTCGCGGCGCGCGCTGTTTAAAGTCTAATATTAACACCGGCGAGAGAGAATTAAGAATCCCATAAAAGTAAACTTCGCGCAATTTGCAAAATTCTTCGAGAAACTTTATTTTTTTTTCCGATTTTTTTCTCGCAAGTCTCGTCGTGTCCGCAATTATGATGCGAGATTAGTGCGCGTTGATGCGCGATCGATATCAATCGATTCGAGTGGGAGCTTTCTGGCAAGCTCGGTCGATCCGTCATCCGGGAGAGGCATCAAATTATCCGCGTAATTGGGCGAAATATCGCGGTGCGGGTAGTGAATATGGCTCGCGTTCGAGCCCCCCTACGATCGCGTTACTAACTGATGTGTTGGCCTCTAGGGCATGAGGGACGGGCCAGCGCCATTACTTTGCCGTCTGATAGCCTCCAGACACCTACCAACCCCTTGGAAAAAGGTAGAGGTCGGGGTTCTCTTGCTTCTTCTTCGAAACGAAAGTAAACCCCCATCCGCGCCACCGGTCTTGCTCTTTCGCCCGCCTCCAGGCGAGTAACCGAAAAAGAATGGCCGAGAGAGATGAGAAAGCAAATCGAATTTAGCAAAACTATCACGCGTCGAGGTTCCGCTGTCGGAGTGTAGTGATGGTGGTAGTGTTGGTGGTGGTGGTGGTGGTGGTGGTGGTGCGAGGCACCTGCAGGTACGAGAGAGATTTACCTCTGGCGGACAGGCCGGAACTGATCGTGCGGAGAGAAGGGCGATGGCGTGAGAATACGAGGGAAAGATAAAGGAAGGCGCGGGCGGGAAATTAGAGCGCCGGCGGGGGCCAAATAAACGACGAGGGCGGCGGAAACGAATTGTCGCGCTACTCGTGTCCTTAATACGATCGTTCATAAGAGCGATAACGTCGCAGAGCCCGGCAACGTCCACGTCCGAATTGAAGCTGGTTGTATACGCGGCCAAACGGGATAGGAGGTTTCTCTCGTCCACAATCGCTCTCTTCTGGTTGGTGTATGTGTGTGTGTGTGAGATGAGGTTTACCTGCGCACTCGAGCGGATTCTACCTGCCTTCCATGGTTATGGAAACGCGTACATGTCGACACTCGTCGGTGCCGTTTCTCGCGCTTCGTGCCCGGAAAACGCGATTGGTTTACCTCCACCTTTTCAAATACACGAGTTCGCCCCCCTGGTCGCCGCCGCGTACCTGTCCATCGTCCACCTCTTGCGCACCTCCGTTTCTATCAAAGCCTGGAAGCGAACTTCTCCTTCCTTCCCATCTCTGTCTTTCTCTATCTTTCTCTCCCCGAATGTGCGAACAAGTCTAAACTCGTTGCTGCGCGCGCGCACGCGCACGTGTATATATATATATGTGTGTGTGTGTGTCGCATCTCACTCGCCCCGATCGTGTACACACCCACACGATTATCGCGGATCAATGTAGCGGCGCGCCTGTGATTACGTGTGTGTATATGAGTTTCTTGCACATATGTACTATTCGCCAACCGTTAAATGTATATATACGGTGAAGTTATAGACGCCTCTCTCTTTCTCTCTCCGTTCCTTTCACCTGCCTATCTGTTTATATCTACCCGAAAGGGATGAGCGGGGGCGTGCACGGAAAGTGAGAAAGATAACGAGAGATAGAGATAGAGAGAGAGAGAGAGAGAGAGAGAGAAGCGGAGGCTACACATTGAGCATTTCCGCCACTGATACTCTCACGAGTCCTGGCAAGACTTCCCCGTTAATGCGACCGCGGGCTTGTCGACGCGAGACCGACATAACGCGACGCGACTGGAAAATCGAAACCGACAACGAGCCGAGTTTCCCGCCCGGTGAACGCCCGGGAGACGAACGTACCAGAGAATAGGAGCCGATGTGTATACCGGGTATAAAGCACGGCGCAAAGTCGGCTATACCCACCTCTCGCACTCATTTCGCGCGCGCACACACCCCGGGCTCTTTCTCTCTTTCTCTCTCATTTTGTGCGAAGAGGCGAGTCGAGCACGTACACACGTACAACACAACTCCGTCTCAAACTCACCCCCTGATATCGAACGCCCCGATGGCTGGCGGTGGTGCGGCGGCGAACGCCAATGCTTGCGGTGAAGAGGCACGTTACGTTTTCTCGTTACCGTTTGAGGTTCCTTTGTGCCTTCCAAACCGCCGGTAAAGTCAGCTCGCGCGCGCTCAGCACGGAGTCAATATTATCTGAGAAATTTCTCGCTGAAAACTGGAATATAATAGCCCCGTCTTTCATCCGCTTTACGCGATGCCGCACCGGCAAACGTAATTTGTCTTTCAAATCGCGCGACGACGTCGAGCATCCATGACAATCGATCCCTTCGCTATTTCTCTTCGAATTCGAGCGCGACGTAACGAGCGATTTTATTTCTCGTTTCGCGAGAGCGTGTTATACTCTTTTGCAAGCCGCGGCTCAGTTCCGCATTTTTACGGATGCGCGTCGTCTCACGCAAATGCGCTCGGCGCGAATGTTCATCAGAGAATGCAAACGGATATTTGTATCAACTTTTGCATATACAATTTACTACGTACACATCTACTCGCCGACAGATATGACACAATATGTGTCGTGTTTAAATATCGCAAATATGTATGTCCAGTAAAATAAAAATGTTTTGTTCGCTGGTTTATGGTAAAGACAAATACAAATCGCAATGTTACGATGAATTTATTTATGTTTTTGTTTCGTGCACGAGAGATTAAAAAGCAAAAATTGTATTTTCTTTTGCGCATTTAATTGCGCCTATTTGTCGTAATCGTCGCTGTCAACATTCCTTGCCGCAACAAACGCAAAAAATAAAATCACTTACGTGTACCGTATATACGGCTATACAACATTCTCAGATACATTAGCAGCAATAATCGTTGGCGAGGATTTCGCCTGGGAATGAATGTATCCGGGTTATCTCTCGGTTATAACGCGAAAAAGGGCACTTAAGGCTACGGGGGAAAAAAGGAGAATGGGATGAAATATCTGCGGCCCATCCTTCGCTTATGGTCCGGAATACATCACGTACTAATTCCCAAATAGGTGGCCAACCCTCCACTTCGTCTTCGGGTAAAGCTTGTTCGCTTATTTTTACGCCCGCCGAGAATACCGCGGGGGAGCGTTATGCAAAGCACGCCCCGACATCGACGTGAATGGACGCTAATTTATTTCCTCGGGTTCTTTCCATGCTCGCGCGCGTTCGCTCGCTGCATCGCGCGCTACTCTTTCTCTCTCTTTCTTTTTTTTCTTTCTCTCTCTCACTCTCTTTTTTCCTCCTCTCGCGTCGTTTAAAACGAGCGGATGAGTCCTGAAAGATTTCACGTCATCCGCAGACGCGTAATGTCCCGTGAAAATTTCGAGGCATTCTCGCCGCTCCACGCGCTGAAACTTTATCAAGTCCAACGATTGGAAGCCAATTTTGTCGAAGTTTAATAACGTTACAGCGAGAACGCTGATCTTTCTAGGTCGACGGGGGCAATATCACGTAGCATGTCACGTACATGTCTATAACTTCAATATATGAACGTAATATCTACACATGTGATGTGTACATACGCGTGACAAAATATCTGGCCGTAGGCAAGCAGTTTTCGTTGCCGAATAATGGATGGATCTTGTCGGAGAGTGTCTTAATTTTGTCGTTTGACTTGTGTAACAATATAAAAAAAAAAAAAAAATTCAAAATAGGAAGCGTGTAAAATTTGCGTGAAAATACATAGGAAAAAGCAGGAGAATCAACCGATGAGAGCGATAACTTTATCAAGCGGCAACTTTATGTATAATTCAACATGATGACACCGCGCGAGCTCACGCGATATGATAATAGGCTACGCTCCGACCCCCTAATTGCCATATCGATCTCCGGCCTAGCGTGAAATAACCGATCGCGGTTAACTCGAGAGTATCATTTCGATCGCACCGGGAGAACGATAAAATTTCAGGCGTGCAGTCTGAAAATAATAATCGTCCGCGTCGTCATCCTTTTGTTCGCGTCCGGCGCGTCGCGTCGCGCTTCTCCATGAAATTCCGGTCGGGCCGTGCCATATTGCGGTTTCCCATTAAGCCGAAAGTTTTAAAGGTTTCCGCTAAACCGGTAAGCGGGTAGTTCCGACACAGGGCCTGCGGGACTACTTGATTAAAACCCCCTGAAAGTGCGACCCACCGGCAGAATCTCCCCGGCACTCTGCATTGTTTATGGAACAATAGATAGGTTTGCCGCGCAGCTTGTAGCACGGGGTTGGCTACGAGGGATTCAGCACCCTCTCTCGCGTCCTACTTCCGCGGCCGGGGGTAACAACTTTATCCCCCTTTCACCGCTTTCGCCGCTTTTCACATCACGTGTATATACCGGTTGCCTTTTCTTTGCGGAAACAAAATCTTCATCTGTGTTGCCGCGCCACCGGCGAAGTTTAATGACTTGCAATTTTTATTTGACGAATTGTTGCGCGTGTAAAGTGACATGATGAAATTATGTTGTAATAAGAATGAGCGAAGAGAAAGAGAGAGAGAGAGAAAGTGCCGGGGATATTTTTGCAACATCGAGCGTGAATTAAAGCGCATGATGCGCATTTAAGAACGTCCACGCAATTTATTGCTTCTTGTATTCTTATAACGTTTTACTGCTTACTTTTCACATAGGTGGAACGAATAGACGAATAAAGTTTCTCGCGGTTCACGCGGGTGCTTTCAACTTTATTGCAAGAAAACCTTAAATAGCCTTTCCGTCGCGTATATACGTGTCCTTTTACACTTCCTTGAGTGCCGAGTGTCAACCAGAAACTATATATGGAGATAAGAAAGAGTAATAAAAAATCTCTATTATATGCTTAGCCAATTAATTTGTTCGCAAACATTTACACTAAATATTTTGTATACTACAATATAATGTTTTTATTTACAAATTATTACGTTTTTGTAAGCATTTCTTTTCTAAAATTATTGCGTCAGTTGAATTTGTTTCTACGGTTTCGCGACTCGCAAAGAAATTTTAAATTACACAACACACAAGACGCGCTATAACATATACATCGTCTGTTAGAAGACGAGTCGCACGATGAAAGTAAAATATGCGAGGCATATTTTACTTTCATCGTTGAACATATCACACGTGATTCCTCCGCATTCTACACCCTTCTCCCTCCTCTCAGGTGGAATATGTATGGCACGTGCAATCCATTGAGTGGCGACAGCGAGGTGGCATAGATCATTCCTTCAAACACTACAGTTTCTCTGCTAATATGACGATCAGCTTTACTCACGCGGACGTGATCGGCAACGCGTTATCTGTATGTAATCGTTCTCGAAATGAGGATCAAGTCATATCGAGAGCATGTAACGTGCATGTTCGATGCTTGCGTTATCGCTTGTGACATGAGTTATGAAGATAAACGTAGCGATGGTTTAAATCTTGTCAAACATTAAAATACAATAATCCATTATCGTGTTTGTTGTATAGAACGATGTACAATAACAAACATTGCTTTAACAAAATGCGCGATCTCTTCGGTGTGGTGATCGCGTTTTATTGTAAACAATATATATATATATATAAATGAGAACACGCGAGTTTTGAAACCGCAACTTTGCGCGAATACATGTTGTCGAATAACGCGTGTAATTTGCGCGAGTTTATTGTTTAGTTATTATATAACTGAACGAGAGACGGGAACAGAATCGACGCGTTTTTGTAATGCGATTATTGACACAAAGTTGTGTTTTCGATGTCTAAGCTCCTGTGACAAAGTGGTGGCGTAAACTTGCCTTTGCAAAGTTTAATTTGCCTTCCTATCTGCTTTTGCGATCTCTCTCTTTCTCTTTCTCTTTCGCGTTCCAGTCATATCAACTGACACGCCAGAAATGAATGCAGCGTAGATGCAAATAGCTCTCCGGGAAGGCGCAAAGTGCTCTTTGTCACACGACATGCAATAAAAGTTTCGATACGCATATGCGCATCGCGCTTTCAGAGCGCGACCCGCGCCTCGTTGTGCACGCTGCCTGTGCCTTGACATTATCGATATCCCTCGCACACATTTCGAAATATTATATAACATTGATATTATCGCAGGCGAGCGCGGGCCACATTTATTAATTTGTGGGAAGAATTACAATTGCGACGAGCTGCGTGTTTGCCGAATTGCGTGTACATATATACGTATATATTACATATTATACAATAATTACTTTATATGGGAACGCACGACATGTGACAATTTCACATATATAAGCATAGCAACGACTTGCTATTTATGCACCGCAAAATATTGTTTTAATTAAAAAATATCAAAGTATTTAATTCGACCAACGTGACATTTCCGATCAAATGAGAACCATACTCTGTTTGTCGCCTATTTTGTATATATATACATATATGTTTGTGTAAATATATATATATATATATATATATATATATTGTATGTGTGTGTGTATTTGTATATATATACAAAATACGCGACAAACATCCAGCGTATGTCTCTCATTGACCGAAAATTTCACGTTGTTTGAATTTCAAGAACTTTAAAACTCTTTATTTATTTAATTCGACCTTCGATTTTGCTAATTAATTAATCAATTAATTAATTGTTTATAATAAAATTTTTTATATGAGCGTTGTAGTTTTTATATAAGTAACGATTTATTTGCAAATGTTTTTATCTCTTCCGATAAGATTGCCTTGACGGATTTGTTGTGAAATAACATAATAAATATAATTTTCCTCGTGCTCGTGATTTATATGCTAATACGCGTGAACATTTTATGTTTCAGTGAATGTCGTGGACGGCGAAAACATGCATATAGTGAAGATAAGTCGTCTTCATATGGGAGCATATTTATGCATAGCGTCAAACGGCGTTCCGCCATCGGTGAGCAAGCGGGTCTCGCTACGTGTGCAATGTAAGTCGTTTGTTAATTATCTTTCATCATTAAGGAAATTTTTTCCGCAAAATGTGCGCGTGTTTCAAAAAATATGAACAATGGATGTAAATCGTTCACTATATAAAATCGAGAGCCGCGCGCATCAGTTAAAAATCCCAATAGAAATCCAGGGCATATTAGTGAAAGTTTTACGCGCAATTTAATATTTTTAAGCGTAGATGTGGGTCGAGAAAATATTTTTCCAAAATGTTTGCGCGAATCGACGGCTTTTCACCCATTACACTAACGAATTTAGATAAAACCGATAGTTCACAAAGGGAAACTATTTTAATATTGATTTCTCTGATTGAAAAAGTTTGCGGGAATTATTTTCCAGCTCGAGTATCGCAATCGAAGCAATCGAAACTAGAGAATTGTGCTGGATAATCGAACATAGATTAAAACGTCTGAATGTGACTGTATGCGTGTATATATATATATATATATATACATTCTCTAAATTGTTTATTTTCGTAGCGCAGCTTTTTTAATAAATCAAATTTTTCAGAAGTACACAAATTTTCCTCGAACGAAATCAATAAATTGTTTTAGAAATTCGAGAGTTATTTTTTCACTTATTCATTCTTTGTGCGATTCTATTTCTCGCGACGTTAAGTCTCATTAAAATTTACAACTTTTAAAATTTTCAACTTTTTTCCGCGGCTCGGATTATATTGATTTTACATCAATATCATTCTGCTGAACGCAGGATTTGGCGCTGACACTATCGATTCCGCCCGCGTGTGTGTGTGTGCCATTAGCGAAAACCACGATGTCATCGTAATACTATGCACTTCGGCATTACGATAAGAGAGGAGGATAAATCTCGGGAAGGAACGACTATTGTCGCGCAAGAATGCACCGCGTATTTTTCTGTACAAGAAAAGATGATAAGAAAGGATGATGGAGAGAAACCCGTTTTTATCATGCGCCTCTCCCACCTCCCGATTGCGAGGCGCGCATAACTTGGTAAATGCCCGGTCGCTGGGAGCAGTAAAGCGCACGATGTCGGAAATATTATACCTTTAATGAACTCGACGTGGTTCATAAACGTTAGAAATGAAATAAAGCCACTAGTTTCCTTTGATGCATGGCCCCCACGTTAATATCGTTACTCGTGATCTAGTTTTTACTAATCTTCCGACGTCACGCTATGTTGTGTTGAGTTTTTAACACGTGTTTTAAGCGCCAGTGTGTAAGTAGCGCGTACTTTTTATCGCACGTTTGACGCAACGTTACTATTCGCGACGTCTTATTCATTAAACGAGTATTCCGAGAATAGATACATTCACGGCAAACAATATTACGCTCTCTTCTCTATTAAGCGATAAAATTTACACGTTTAAAAATACTTAACACTTTAAACGACCGATTTATATAAATAACTGTATGAAAATATAACGTCCCGTCGTAACACGAGCAAAAATAGGTAAAACATAATTTGTAAAACACGTTTGAATTGTGCAGTGAGTATGTCACACAAAAATACGGTTTAGCTTACAATATTTATATCGTAAAAAAAAGACTGGCGAAGACAGAATATCGATAAGATGAAAATATGTTTACATATACATGTGTATATTTGTGTTTATACGAGAGCGAATAGATACAAGAGAGAAAGGGTCGTATTTGAAAATCCGCGTTGTCATACGAACTGTTGCAACTCTCGATGAAGAGCGGTTGCTCCTCAACCGTGGAAGCATTCTCGCGGCGCGCCGTGCATTAGGTCGGTTTTCAACGTCTCATTTAGCCACCGATTTATGGGCGGCTACTTGACCCAGATATGCTCGATATACGTCTGTTGATCCCCGCGCAGCCGTTTCCCTGGGATTCTACTCAGTTTTGGGGTGCGAAATGCGTCTCTGGCGCCGTCTTTTCTACCACATTAGTTTCTCGTTTCTCGCTTCTGACCTCACGACGTGTTTTCACCGCGTGCGCGTACGAGCACAAATATTAATAATCGTCCGTGATATTCGAACCGCCCCGTTTGGGGTAGAACAACCCCGCTCTTGAATAGCAATTTCGCACGAGGGTCACGAATCGCGCGACAACTATCTACAAACGCGACTCACGAAAACCAAGCGTTGTTGTTTCTTCTTCGGATTTTCTCGCTAGATATTGTGTGGCATATTGTGTGATATATTCTCTCCCGGATGTTGATCTAATGACGATACGCGGCGCATGATAAACGCGCGAGTATTACTAACGTACGGCGTAAACTAATACCGGTCGTACGTCATAGAGATATATTGCCGGGGTGACTTTTTTTTCAGCGACTTTATCTTTAACGCATCAGACGCCGTCATTATCGCGAATCGTGTGCGATTATAGCGCAATTTGTATTCCGGAGACACACATCTCGCGATATTTAATCGTCGTAAATAGGAAATAAATCCGGTAAGAGCTTTTTTTTTATCTCTACACACTCTCTTAAAATTGATTGGAAAAAAAGCAAATTTATTACCAGATTTTATTAATTTAAATAAATATAAATTAAAATAAAAATTTATATACAGGATGTTCCATTTAACTTGAGCATTATAAATATCTCGCTTATTTTTTATGATAGGAGGATGCCGAAAAGAGTCATTACTCAGTTCGAGGAGACAAATACTGTAATGAACAAGAAATTTTTCTCAATATTTTTAGGATTTTAAGATTATTGTCATTTTTTTTATTTGAAAGTATAAATTTTTATCTTCGCAAAAAATCTGCATAGAGCAACAAATCAGCAACAAAAAAAGCACTAAATTGTTTTATAGATTTTATTCGGTTGAAATGATATGTGTGGTTGTGTCACATCTTGATATACGTGTCTTGATTTCATAGAGAAGACGTCATCATTTCGCAGCGAAAGTTTTTGTTGTATCACTGTGAAGTTTGATAGATTGAGATTATATTTTCGCGAAATATGTATTGAATTGTATGTGTGTGTGTGTGTGTGTGCAATCAGAGTGTAGACTTGCTCGCAGCCTGTAGATTTATCGATAGTTTGGAAGTACGTTCGGGGAAAGGAGATAGGTGAAAAAACTACCCTTCGTGGCTCTGTCGAAAATGCACCCAGTTGCCAGTAAATCGCGATTTACGTCCGTCCGTAAAAGACGGAACTATGACACGATACTGCCGATACATCCGGGTATCTGTATCGATTGGGGAAGAACCGCCGCGCGTTTACAGTATATCAATATCAATTGAGAGTATACGAGAAATGATGATTTTCTTTTTAAAAAGAGAACTTGAAAAGATACGAAATAAATAAAGAGATCAAATCTTATCAGAGAAATAACACAACGATGGAAAAGCAATTTTTAACACATGTGCGCGATATTTTCTTTGTTATTTTGTCTCATTTGTAATTCACGGTAGGATTTAACGTTCACTTTGCAGTCCCACCCATGCTTTCCATACCGAATCAGTTGGAAGGCGCGTATATCGGACAGGACGTCACTCTCGAATGTCACACCGAAGCGTATCCGAACTCTATAAATTATTGGACCACCGAACGCGGCGACATGATAGTCTCTGGTAATTATAAGAATCTTACATGTGCACGTCCTTCTTAATCACTGCATGTCTGATGTGGATTTTCATATTTCTGACTCTCTCATGCATGCAGGACAGTGAGAAAATTTCTTTTAGCTCCTTCTTAGCGAACGTTTGATTTTTTAATGTGTTAGTAACGTAAAGAGCAAGAATATTAAACGACTATATCTTGAACGTCAAATATCTCACTCGAGAAATAACGTGAAAGTTTTTCAATATCGTCAAGACTCGCGTCTCGCGCGGTTAAAAAAAAACACACACTTTGCAATCTTAATTTTAAATGAAAGTCAGATATTCTGGTTTTATTTGCTCAGGCAATTCTGTTTCAGGCGACAAATACGAGGCCATAGCCACCGACAGCGGTTACACCAAGTACATGATGCTGAAGATAAGGAACGTCGGTCCGAACGATTTCGGCTCGTACAAATGCGTGGCGCAGAATTCTCTCGGCGGCACGGACGGTGTCATCAAACTGGATCGTGAGTTGATTTTTTGTTTTAGTACACAAAATTCTAACAAAATTATTTAAAAAATAATTAACGACTAAAAATTTTATATACGTCTTTTTCTTAACGATACGACAAAGTAAAACTCGATGTATCTTTCACGAAGTGAAAACATTCAGAGCACTGCACATTGAAAAGTATCGAGCAAGTGCTATAACGCTGTGGTTTATTTAGGATCGATTATTCGAAGTCGACGTCCGCGCGCTAATGGTGAAGTAATTGGTTTCCAATAGTCAGTTACTTAAAGATATTTGAGCCTTCGTCGTTAACGAGCGACGGGCGAGGTCGAGCGTACTTCTCTCGCGAGCATTAACCATAATTGCCCATTAAATTTGCACTGGACATCGTCATTTCATACAACTATGAAAAAAACCTCTTTTATGGATGCCTTTCAAACATAATTAGAAGAGTACAGATGTATTTGTAATTTGCAAATGTTGTCGAAGTATGAATTTAATACACAATGAATAAATTTGTGTCAAACGCGGTCATAAATATTCTTGCACGAATATGTACATACTTACGTAATGTGTAAATTACGCTGCATTATATATTTTGACGCAGAAATCCCAGCTCCGTCGACAACATCTACGACGCAGCCGCCGTACTATGCAACGTCTTCGTCGAGTAAGAACGGTAAATGAAAACTAGCTCATAAATGTTAACATAAATAAATTACTGTAAATGTGTATTTTCTTAGTTTAACGTAGCTTTTATATTAGCTATTACTTTGAACGTCTTTGACCGCATCCACGCGCACAGAGTAGATATATCTGATTAGAGTAATATTTCATTTTGTAGAATCAAGCAAAGTCTCTCTCTCTCTCTCTCTCTCTTTCTTTCTTTCTTTTTTTCTTTTTTTCTCTAATACAATCCGGCTTTTGTTTCTCGATTCCTAACTAAAACTGCTTTTCCTTTCGCACTCCACCCTTCGTCCGCAGAGCAGCCTACCGCAGAGTACCAATGTAAAATCGCCTTTGTGTAATGCATTTTAGGGAGAAACGGTAACAAGAAATCACGACCACAATTAACTAACGACTACGAGGTCGAGGAATGGCGAAATTCAGGTCAGTAAATATCTATTTTAACACGCCCCCGCGTAGAGCTCTCAGGCATTTCCCACGACGATACACGTTCTCTCCCGCCCGAGACCACCATGTCGTTCGAGTAATTAGCGTAATTAAAACCTCGTCAACGCCGCTACGAGAGATCGCGGGAAGAGGCGCAGATCCCTAAGAGAGAAAATCCACTAAATTGGCAATGCTCGGTGATCCACTTTATCTGCGAAGCGATTTACTCCGCCGCGTTACTCGCGCCCCGTTCCCCTTTATTGCCTGGAAAAGATCCTGCGGTCATCTCCTCCAATCTCGTAAAATCCGAGGATGTATGTTAATCGACTTGTTCCTTTGAACTCGTTCGACTAGAGTCAGCTCGCTAAAAAGTTTGGAAAGTTTCGACTAGATATATACGAATGAAAACAACTTGGGATGTCTAGGCCAACCGGATGTTCTCGTATATTTGGATGTTTGTTTCAATATAATCAAACGTGTTCGATCGTATTATTTGGATCTTCAACAGCAATTAGTTAAATACAAAACGAACATGAAATCACCAACAGCAATACAAAAAGTAAAATTAAAATATAGAGCAAGTAAATGTTAACGAAAGCACGTTTTGTAATTTTTTGAACAAACTTAATTTAAACTTTATTAAGTTCCGCGTTCGACGTTTTTTTAGTGCACGTTATTGAGTGACAATCGTTTTTCTTTTGACGAATTTTCTTATCTCGGAAAAAAAATCACGTTTATCACTTTTAATGTGCAAGTTCGCTGTCGTGTTGCGCTCTTTCACAAATTCGCTCGTGTTGATCAGGGTTAAGCTGTGAGGGATTATAAGATGCTCTTCGTGACATTTTCGTGTAAGTCCCTCTCTCGTACAAGTTTGCTATCCCCCAGATTTCAAACTTCGGCCGCGGTAATCGTTGACGTGCATCACGATGCATCCGACCGCATCGCGCGTATCGACAAACCCGGAGACAGTTTTCGTTTTCCGACTACGAGAACTGCTTTTCATGAACCTTTAACCGGCGAAGATATTTAACGTGTTTTCCATAAATACGATGTAAAATCGCGCAAATAAATTAAAAAAACCATAAAGTATATATTTACGTGGATCGTTTTTCATCGATTCTCGCTTTGCGACGAGCAGGATTTCGCGCGTTAAAACGACTTCGAAAGCTCTTGGCAAATTCTTATATTATACAAGCCAGCTGCCGCGCAGATTGGCGGCAGAATGCAAGTTCAAAACTCACTTGGAATGACTTCGCTCAAAAGATTCCCCCGAGCGTTGGGCCAGTTCTCTTTCCCTTCCTGAAGTTTACTTTCAATTAATGAAAAACGAGCTGCGTTGACCCGCGGTCGTCTGCCGCCTCCGGGATCAGGAAGTGGAAGAGAGGAAATGGAGAAAGGCGAACTCCTCCCGTTATTTTCTTTCTCGCTCTTCGTGCGCCGCCTTTTCCTCTCCGAAAATCGATCGACTTCGACCGTATCTCCGCGCTCACAATTGCGATTTATGTACTCGTCGACTAATACTAGTTCTAGTAATGTAGTACTCCGCCCGATTACGACTAATACTCACGTCCAAAAGGATTGATAAATGTCCACTTTAATGAATTTGAACGGCGAATTTTATCTACATATTGAATTACAATTCGTTTCTTCCGACTTTCCGTATTCTCTACGTGCAATTAGAGCTAATTGAATGAATTTGTAAAGCATTAACGGAGATTATTTCTTTTCTCTTTGTATTAAACATATCTATAGAGAGCAAGTTTTTATCTACGCGATTATTATACATTTTTTATTTCTCAAACAAAATTGAATTTTATCAATCGTTGTTTTAGCAGATTTTGTCGTACGAATTCGTTTGATAAGAATCGGAAAAATTAGAACAAATCTTCGGGAATTGTTCAAATTATTAGAGCGAGTGATTTCTCGAAATCGAATTGTAACTAATCTAAAGTTGTTCGAATACTTTCGCGCAATTTCCAAGCCGCCGAAACATAATCAACGGTAACAAAATGTACGAACCGGGAGAGACGCGCGGAGGTAAAGATGTTGTTAAAGTGTTGGAAAATGGCTCGTCTGTCGCCGACCATGCGGAAAGTCACGTACAGTGGATTTTACTGGTAGGTGGGAATAACTTTTTCCGAACGGACGTGCGGTTTCGACGTCCGTTTCTGGCGGGCGAGCCAAGGGGGTACGATGAACTACTCTCGAGGAACGCCCCGCATTCGGGACAACTATCTTGCAGTTCGTGGACAAAAAAAACCAAACAAAAAAAAGGATATTTTCTCGAGTCGTTACGTTACGGCTTTTTGGAGAGAACAAATTTCGTTAATATCGTTCTAAACGACTACTATCAGAGAAACGCGTCTCTTCGGGAAATATATTTGACATCAAACTCTAAAAATTTTTTTTAAGCATCTCAAGAAGACGGTATTATTACTGCGCATTTCGGCAATTCGAAAAAGAATATAATCCCGGAATTTTAGTTGAAACAATTTGAAAGCAAGATTAATCAAACTAGTTTTGCTCAATCCAGATAGCAGCGGTGTTAATAAGTGTAATTTGTTAGAAGGCGCCAGATTCTAAATTATTCGGTAATGCCGTGGATGGAAGTCATTAAGGTAAATCGAGGTCATGAAGTTTTATCGCGGCAATAATCGTACATTCTGATGTATGGTCTACCGTCATTGATATATTTCTTTCTATAACATTGCTGAGACTATACATTAGCGCCACAGGTGGCGATGTTGATTCGGGTTCAATTCATTTATCAAGTTCGGACAATCGATAAAAGTTATCGTCAGTAAATACGATTTTAATCGGTTAAAATGGAGCTTTTTCCGAAATTGCTAACGCTTTTATAATTCACGTAGCAAATATATATATATATTTTATACAAAATTTATCGACAATTCTCCTTCTGTCTAGATTGTAATGCATATATTTTTCTCTTTGATTAATAATTTTATTATTCACTTTTTTGTTCGCAGATTAATTTTCTTTCTTCCCGTCACAACAGTGAGAGAAACAACACGTTCTATTTTAATTGTCTCTCATGTCATATACGTTTGTTGACGTACATACATCTAGCGAGTCAAATGTCGTTTCTTATTTAATTGTGTTTTTTTTTTTGTATATCATTTCTGAAGATGATCCCACCCGGAGATCGAAACGTAATGTAACGTTTTTGAATAAAAATAATTTACAAAAAAATTTTACGCGCCGTCAACTGTGTTTAGGCTCACATTGGCCGATCTGTTTCCTCAAGTCTTTTAATTTTCTTTCTCGCTTTAAGCTGTTTTCAAAAGTTTTGCCATTTTTCTTATTGTTATATTTTTCTTTGCATTATTAAACAATTACAAGACAAGGGAGTGCAACAAAGGGTGTAATCATCTTGGCGTAACTTTCGTTGAAAATGTTTTTCTTGCGCATTGGAGCGTAGGAGTTTGCTTAAACAACCTTATTAAGGTTTAAGGAATTTAAGTGCTTCTAAGCTGCGGGAGCTCGATATATATCATGACGCGCTTCGCGAAGCAAGCCCCTGCCGGTTACGTATCTCTCTGTTCTCGCTCGGCGTCTCATCGCTCTTCTCGCCACCATAACAAATGAAAAAGCTCACAAGACACATCTGCGAATTGCCGCTGTGCCGCAATTAATCCACTAACATTTCATCCGGCGTTTCTTTGACGGTAACGGCTGATAAGAGGCGATTTAACAGACGTCGGATGTATTTAATCTCAAATGAATTTACCCTTCCTGCGCGCGCGTTTTCTCGGGACCCGCCGTCTCCTCATCGCCAAGGGTTTTATCTCGTTAAAAAGGGATTTACGCGAGTTGAACATACAGCGTAGAAATTCCGGTAGAACCGAGAGTTCGCCCGAATTTAATTCCCGGACGTGCGGGACGCGCGCCCGTCCAACTCCCAATCCCGTTTCTCTACTCTCTCTCTCTCTCTCTCTCTCTTTCTCTCTCTCTCCCTCTCCCCTCGTTTCGCATTATCCGCAACAACTCCTCGTATTTATCTTCCGTATCCGCTCGTTATACTGCACGTGCGTATATACAAGCGTGCGTCGAGAATGAGGCCACCGAGGAAATGAGCCGCCGAGCTTGACGATTTTCGCGTATATGCTCAAGCGCCACCGACCGTTTGTTCCGGACGTCGCGCAGCTGGCAAACGGCGGTGGCGCAGGGCGATATACGTGAAAATACGGCCAAGAAGTTCTCGTCCGAAAACCGGTGTCGGTGTGGCGTCGACGGCGGTGTGGTGTTCGCGGTCGGTAATACAAAGTGCGGACGATATTCTGGCGGTTGTCGTGCGGCCAATTAATCGAAAGAATATTAGCTTCCAACCAATAAACAATCTGACTCCTTTTCTTAGCCGTTACTCGTCTTCCTTTTTTTTATTACATGTAACATTGCACTTTTTTTTATATAGAATATGTAATATCGCAATTAACGGATGCAGAGTATTTACGCGAAATGTGAATAACATTTTATTCATTATTTATAATTATAATTTATTGATAAAAAATAATTACATTTTTAATAAAAATTGTTAAAATTTTTAGGTGTCCTCCGCTTTTTACGCAGCATACTTGTACGTAGCAAAAGCAGCTTTTTGCTCATGACCGACAAATGAAATTCATGACGTATACAAATAAAGGCAATTACGCCAACTAAGTTCAAACGAACGTTTTCATTAAAGGCCTTTTTTCTGTTCCCAGATGTTATAATTATTTCATAATTTTTACAGAGACACATTCTTTTGTCGTGACAAAGAACATCGTATATAAGTAGAGATTTTGGTTAGTTTTATTTTTGCTTATCTTTGTTAAATTTTTATCCTCTCGCACATATTATTCGAGAACAGTGAATTATATTTCAGTAACGTACAATAAATTTTCAAAATAAAATATAAATATTTCAAATATATGTATTAAATCTTCACACATTGTAATTTAAATATCATTATGCATGTAAAATTCTACAGACACTTTGAAGAGTGTTGTCTAAGAAAAATGTTTTTTCGAAATTACAAAGTATGCAAGTCTACTTTTTCCCACTTTTTCTTTTGCAACATCGTGCAATTGTTCCAGTCAGTTTTTGGAACAACCGCAGCGTAGTAGTTTTATCTGCTTACAGGCTATGGCCCGTCGATGAGGCCGCCGGGTGAGCTGCCGGACACCTCGAGTCCGGGCACGTCTCATCGGGCGCAGCTCGTCCTTCATCTCACGCTGAGCCTCCTGTCGCTGCTGCTGCCGGCCATCAGAAGGTGATTCTCATGTCGCGGGAACGGGGCTTCCAGTTCTAGTGTTTATTGGTTCGGTGACCGAGCCGGAGAAGCGGCCGGTTCGCGCGTGCTTAACCGTGGCAAGTGACGGACGAGTGCGACGAATGCGGGAGGGCCGCGCTTGAAATTATTTTCGTACTAAAGTATAAACTTATACAGAGAGCAAAGAGATATTATATGTATGATATATGAATATATATATATATTATATATATATTATAAATATATATATGGATCTATATGGATCGTGTAAGTACGCGGTGAGTACGGAGCTACGTCTAGGCTTTTCTCGACTGATCAACGCCCGTGTGTCGTCCCGTGAAACGCTCTTGGTTGCTCCGTGATAGACGAGCTTTCCGCGATAAGCTCCCTCTAAACGTTCAAACAAGAGACGCTCACGCATCGAGAGAAACTTGTTATTTACCGATACCTTTATCCCGGGTGATCACACTTCGTCGATCACTTTTCGGAGAGGGAAAGAAGAGATTTCGGAATATATTTGTCGCGAGAGAACACGCACATCTTCCGTTTCTTCCCTTGGGAAATTTTCCGGACACCTCGAGAAAAGACAATCTTTTCTTTTCTACTAATCGAAGCGGAGTGTTAAATCGCACAATCGCGACATTCAGACGGTGAATCTTTCAGACTACGCTGTCGGATTCAACGAAATTGTTCAGGTATGGATTTTCATACATATATATATATATATATACATTTTCCGCCGTAACGCAAATGCGGATTCCAAAAATATCACGATTTATGATTGGATGGTCTATTGATGTAACGTTCTTTTCCGAGCGCTAGTCATCCATAAACTATTCCTCCGTGCGCCGATATATTTTTCACTCAAAACCATCGGATTTCGATAAATGTACCGCGCGAAACAATACGTTGAAAGTTTTTTGCTCTAATTCGCTAAAAGCGCATTTGCATGATTATCGGATGATTAGTAATTGTTTTTTTCTCGTCAGCAAAAATCGAAGATTTTACATCGTTTTCTCGTCGTTCGGTTCGAATGTGTACATCACGAGGAAGACACGCGCGCGGAAACTGCGCATTCAGTAAATATACATATATACGTACTCTCGTAAAAAAAAAAAAAACGATAAACAAAAAAGTATAAATAAATAAACGAATATATATATATATAGATATATATATACACACATACGTACGCGGATCGTAGTTGTGTCGAGACGCATTGCTCGGTAATTAGCTGCTCGATTGGTAAGGCGTGCACGCGTATATAATCCGAGCGCGTAATTGTACATGCGCTCCGTGCGAATTATTAAACAGAAGAACTCGGATTTGTTGAAGAAAACCTACACATTTGTAAGATTGTGCCCGAGTGTATGTACTGGGGAAAGAATTGACGCTAGACATCAAGTAGCCTCGAATCATCGACGACGGTGACGCTTCGTGGCTTCTTTTTGCGCGATCGTGACGTTTTCGATATAGACTCGAGTGTAGAAATTTCTATCGCGGTTATATCGCACGGCCAAAATTTAGAAACAATTAATTCGGACGTGCGTGTAGCGCGCTTGTTAATAATGAAGACGGCGTGTGTATCGAATCGTTGTTTTGAAAACAAAAAAAAAAAAAAAAAGAACAAAAATTAATTGGCATCTCCGAAAAGCTCGTGCATTCGTGCTCGCGCAGATCCCTGGTATTCTCGTTTCTTTTTTCTCTTTTTTCGTGTTTTTCTTTTTCACTTCTCGTTTCGCTCATCGCGTGACGCGAGTTCGCGCTTGACACGGACACGCTGTGTGCAAGGGAGGTGCTATGCGACGCTTTAAAAACCGCTCTCTTTGAATCTCCTCTTACGTTGTACCTGATCGTATGAATTGCCATCACCGTTCGATCTCAGGCGACGCGGATATGTGAAATGTTGTACACGCGCCTTTTCCCTGTTAATTCTGTAAATAAATAAATATTGTAGATATGTTGTGCTGTGATCAGTCTGGATCGTCGTCTTTACGGAGAATGACTCGAGGCTGCGCTTGTTAAATCGAGTATAGGAGAGGCGAATGTTGTGAATATTATATATTGTTTGAGTATGAGAGAGAGAGAGAGAGAGATAGAGAGATAGAGAGAATATGTGCGCGTATATGTGTGTGTGTGAGAGAGAGAGATATATATATATATGACACGCAGTATATATATTCGTACGATGACGTCGTTCAGTAGAATACCAAATGAAGCTGCAGCGATCGTAGCTATATCTCAAATTAAGTTATGACAATGTTATTAATGTATCATGTCCGACGATTTCACTATGTCAAACGATTTTTATGTATCGCGTGCCGTCGTCTTAGAGTGATACGCGAGTCGATAATTAGGTATAGATAGTGGAACTGTCGGCCTGTATATCTTAATAAATCGAGCATACGACTGCTATTATATACCGCATTGGTTTTTAATAAACATCCTCGCAATGCCTCTCTCACCACAAACCGAATATTTATATACGTTTAATTAATGTTCCATGAGAAAAGAAGAGAAGAAGAAAGAAAGGTTTTCACAAAGGTACGTAAAGTATATTATTTGAATATTGCGATACACACGCACACATACATATTTATTTTTTAAATTAATTATTATATTTATGGATTATCAATTTTATACAGAGCAAAAGAAATTTGATGTAAGCGTATTGAAAACGGAATGAACACACACTATGTAGATGCTAAATAAATTTATTTATGTAGATGCTAAATAAATTTATTACTTTAGTAATGCATACATATTTTACATATATAGCCGCACATCTCTATGAAGTTATAAGTATCAAGAATAGTTAATAAATTTTTTTACATACTCTATTTCTATTTAATTAATAAAGATTAATACTCGTTATTAGGTGTACATATTTAATTTTAATCAACTAATAATTAAATTAATATATGAGAATATAAATATATAAAACCACATAATATATAAATTTCTATATAAAATATATATGGCAGTCATTAATCGCCTTTCAATGATGTTATTAATTTTGCTTTTATTGAAACATCATAAATTAATTATAACAATGTTTTGTATTAAATGTGTGTGTGTGTGTGTGTGTGTGTGTGTGTGATATTTGATGTTTTACCGTGGAAAATAATATTTGTTTTTTTAGCTGGCTGGAAAAATAATATTACATATATATATGTACATACATATATATGTATATATAAACACTCACGTGGAAACTTTCTCTTGAATTTTTTTTTCGAAAGATTGTAAATTAATATATTAATTTCAAATACATTTGCTTTTAATCATAAGAACAATGGACAATGAATAATGTACTGAATAAAAAATTATTAGCGCATCTCTGCTGAACGTTTGAAAGGGATTATATGTATATGTACTATATATATTGATCTCATTAAATAACAATAATTCATTATATTGGCAGGAAATAGAGAGAAGATAATTCCAGCGTTTCACTTTGAAGTCTGCGTTATATTAACTTTTCATCACATATAATTAACTGATATTGATTAAACATAATCCTTTTTTTTAAATCTCTTATTACGAATATTGCGTTTTGTGTTTCCTAAATAATTGCAATCTTCCACAATTCTGAGATTTAAAATATCGCAACCAGTTTTTTCTCGAATTCGTCGCGGACAAGGAAGGTTTGTATTAAATTTTTTCTTTGCCGAGATAGAATCTTAATAAACACGAAAACAAATTCACACAGTGCATGCGCGAAAATTGCTTTAAAAGTTAATGTTTCATTTTTCCGAGCGACGCGTCATACAAAACAAAGGTGTGTGCATCGATCCTGGCGTAGAATTGCGACAAACAGGTTTCTGCGTTTCATTTCGCGGTTATTTACGCCCACGCGATTTTGCAAATCCGGGGCATTCAGCCGAGGCTGTATATATTTCAACTGAGGATCGCCGCTGCGGGCGAACGCGCGGTTACGCGCATACATATCGATGCAGTCGGCGAGAAAATGACTGGCGATTAAAAAAAAAAAAAAAAACGAGAGAGTCGGAAATAAAGCGAGAGGGTCAGCAATTCACGAAGCGGACGGAGAACAATCAATCAGCTATCAGTGTACCATTTATTTTTTCCGCTCCCTCCTTGGAATCCCAGATGGGGCGTAGCGAAGGGATGCTGAGCTGGAGGGAAATCGATCGTAGAGAAGGGATTTAACAGCGTCTAATCCGAAGCGTCTATTGCGAATCGTCGGATATATATAATCGTATCTGTGTGCGATATGACGAATTTACTTTAGAGCCGTGTATCGAACCGGTGGATCATTAAGAGAGTTAGTGACGCTTATTACAGTTGTTCTATTGTTAACGCACGTCGGGGTGAACGAGCGAGCGATAATAATAAATAACTCAACCGGTCCGCGATTTGTGACAATGATTGCCTCTTCTCGATATACGGACGACCCCTCGATAGCTGTCTGACTACGTGTATGTCCCACCCTCACGTTGACATTTCGGGAGTTACTAATTATGGGACATTATCGACTCGCAGAAGTTAGATACAGTCTCCTATTCTCCACCCCTGAGCGGCCATTACCGGTCGTACGAACATGTTCGGAACACTCCTGACGGGTCCGAATATCAAAATTGATGTTCTATCCGGCTTAATAATTCGCACCAATGGAATTAGCGATCGAGCGCGCCTCACTATTTCTCGTTTATTCCTGATATTGCCTCTTGTTTGTGCGAAGCGTTTTCGCATCTCGTAAGAGATAAATTATGATGGTTAAAATTGTATCAAAAAAAACAAAAAAAAATAACAAGCAAAAATGAAAAATCGAACTGTTTCGAAGTGTATCTTTATGTGCTAAAATTAAATATCGAGTGATAAAAAGTTTTTTCGTATCAAAACCGTAGCGTTGTATCTCGTTTGTCGTGCAAAAACGAAATACGCGTTCTGTGTTTCATCACAGTTAAAAACATCTCGCGACCGGTACTCACTCAAATATTTTGAAGATTGTTACGTTCGGGACGCGCAGAATCAAAGTTTTAAAATTGGATAAAGCGATTTTTCATCGGTCCCTGTTCGCGATTGGATGCGCGGCGAAAATAATGCAACGGAACAGGAGATGCCTTATGGTTTTCGGATCAATTCGCTTCGGACAGGAGGGAATGTAATCTCGAAAGTGTCTCCCGCGTAGCCCTGTGGGAGACTTCGGTTCGGATCTTGTACGACGATGTGTAGGCAAGCGTGTGAGCATCTCATTCCACTTTTCAACTTCCACTTACTTCTTTTTTTTCTTCTTTTTGCCGTGTAGCAAACCGTATCAAAATTTGACTTAGATATCATAATCAAATATGAAATTTTTTATATCCGCATGCACCGCTATCTCGTGATCAAGAACCGATTCACTTGTGTGGAAATTTTCACGCACGTATAATCAACGGGAAAATCGAAATAGCATTATTGCGATAAACTGAATTAAACGTTTTCCGTCTGTAAGTTGCTTTTATTTGTTGATAAATAACGACATTAATCAATAATCGAACAATTTGTGTCAATATTTTGACGTCGATAAAAATTGAGCTGCCAAATAAACTAATTTGCTGTACGAGATTTCTTTAAAAATCTCGTAGAAAATGATGAATAAAATGCGGTTTCATATATTGTAATAATTAGATATTATCATATTTATATCGCTAAAACAAAATGAAATTTATTTTCATTCAAATGTAACCGAGAATTAAAATGGAAATACGTAATATGTTTCGTCTGCAAGTATGTACAAAGCCGTGTACACATTTTAACAGATATACAATACATTTCGTTTAATTAAATTTTGATCGATATGTCGGTTTTTCCTTTCATTAACAAACTCGTTAAAGAAATCAAATATTCTAAAACAATTTTCTGTATACATTTCGACACGATTGTTAAAATTCGGTTTTTTTATCAGACAGAATTAAGTTTTCGCTTATATAGTTTTGTTAAATACTGTTTTCGCACGAACGTTGTTTTTTTTTTGTTTTTTTAATTGATTAATTACACGGTACGCGAGCGCCTGTTGCACGCGCTGTCAATACTTAATTACGGATATTATTTTCACTTTTGTTTCAAAGTGCGTAACTTTCCTTTAATATCTCGGGGTTTCGTAATACATAGATCGAGAACA